CTTTATGTCGTCCATAAAACACAGTTACAGGTTCCTCTGCATTTGTATTGCTCTTTCTGATAACATTCTGAGCATGAATATTGCATTCCTTGTTCCGGTGTCTTTAATGAACCCGCACTGTTCTTGTCCTATCTCTGGCCTGATTCTGCTGAGCGCTCTATTCATCAGAATACGGATGATTAGTCTTGTTATGTGGTTCATTAGGCTGACTGTTCGGTGGAGTTGGCATTCGTTTGCGCCTGGTTTCTTAGAGAGTGCTATGGAAATAGATCTACTTAGATCTTCCGGTATATCCCCGCTGTTGTAGATTTCATTTATTATTTCCATGATCTTGTCTATGCCAAAATCACCTAAGGCTGTCAGCATCTCTGTTGTTATTCCGTCTGGCCCTGCCGCCTTGTTTCTGTTCAATTTGGCCATTGCAGTTTCTACTTCGATTTTTAGAATTTCAGGTCCGTCGGTATTTCTGTGTATTCCTGGTTGTCTCCTTTCGTCATGGAAGAATTCTCCATTATATTCGTTCGAGCGCTGAAAATATTTTTTCCTTCTCTAATACGAGCGTTCCGTCCTTTGCTTTTAAACAGCATGTTGAGCACTTTTTATGTGCTTTTAATTCCCTTATTTGTTTATGCATAACTCCTTTGTTTGTAGTACCCAATCTCTCTATTTCTTCCTGTTTTTTTTATTTAGCAACTCTTCTTTAGCCTGCCTGCATTTGGTCCTGATTTTGTTGTGTAGCTTTTTTGTATTCTCTCCCATGCCTTGGCACAGTTTTCTGTCTCGTCTACATCATGTCGAGAACCCAGTGATCCATTCGTTCTTTTTTTCTTAGTTCATTCTCCTTTGGGATGATATCGCTTGCTGATGTCATTAAATCTTCCCTTAATGTGTCCCATTTCAAGTTTCCATTTTGTCCCTCGCATCTCACTGTCCATCTATTTTCGTTTCAGGTTCGGGTCACTCAGGAGTCTGTTGTATTGCAATTTGGGGGCTGCGTTAGGCTTCTTCAGTTTCCATAGTTTCACTCTTACTTTACATATGACAGGACGATTACTCCTCTTTATATTGGGCTCTGGATTTGCAAGGGCTGCTCGTGTGCTTAACTGTTCTTGCTTTCTGGAATTATCCAGGTCTACCGTATTTTTGCTTAAGTAAAATCATGTTACTATTATTGTTTTCTACTCTATATGTCACTCTCAATGTCTCTTTATATATATATTATATAATTTGGTATTCCGTATGGATAATACCAGAGAGGATATAAAACCAAAGAAAGCTCAATATAAAAACAAAGCAAATAATAATTAGTATAAAAATGAATATATTGCGATCATTTTTGTTCATTCTTTCACCCATCTTTTTTTTTTTTTTTTGTTTTTTTTTTTTTTTTGTTTTTTTTTTTTTTCCTTCTTTCCTATGTTTTTTTTTGTTCCTTCTTTCACCCATGTTTCTTTTTTGCTCTTTCTTTCACCCATGTTTCTTTTTTGCTCTTTCTTTCACCCATGTTTCTTTTTTGCTCTTTCTTTCACCCATGTTTCTTTTTTTTGTTCTTTCCTTCGCCCATGTTTCTTTTTTTGTGTTCTTTCCCTTCGCCCATGTTTTTCATGTTTCTTTTTTTTTTTTTTTTTTCCTTCGCCCATGTTTCTTTTTTTTGTTTTTTCCTTCGCCCATGTTTCTTTTTTTTGTTTTTTCCTTCGCCCATGTTTCTTTTTTTTGTTTTTTCCTTCGCCCATGTTTCTTTTTTTTGTTTTTTCCTTCGCCCATGTTTCTCATTTTTTTCCTTGCCCATGTTTCATTTTTTTTTTTTTTTTCCTTCGCCCATGTTTTTTTTTTTTTTTTTTTTCCATGTTTTATATTTTTTTTTTTTTTTTTTTTTTTGTTTTTTCCTTCGCCCATGTTTTTTTTTTTTTTTTTCCTTCGCCCATGTTTCTTTTTTTTTTTTTTTTTCCTTCGCCCATGTTTCTTTTTTTTTTGTTTTATCCTTCGCTCATGTTTCTTTTTTTTGCTCTTTCTTTCGCCCCATGTTTCTTTTTTGCTCTTTCTTTCACCCCATGTTTCTTTTTAGCTCTTTCTTTAGTCAAAACTTTTTTATGGGTCAATGTTTTCTATTCACTCCACCTCATATTTTTTTCTCTTTCTTCCCTTCCAATTTTTCTTACTCTTTTTTATATATTTTAACTTTTTGTTTTGCTCTTTGCCCAACTGGACTTCCATACTAAACAGATTAAGACAACCGTCAGTAGATACTTATCCGGGCAATTAATCTAGACCGATGTAATAAGACGCAGAAAAATTCGCCTTCATTGTACCTAACCTACTGACACTTTCACATTCTTCGGGCTTCCCTTGACCGGTCAGGCACCTCCCCACACAACTAGATTTCTTGTATCTCATTCGACCTCTATTCTTCCAAAGCCGACCAAGTGAGCAACTGATGCCGATATGAAAACTAATCAGTCATTTCTTTCACCCAACAAAACCGTCCACTACCGCCACTTCCATGACCTCTTGGAATTTTGTCTTATCTTCGCTCCCGCCTATTCTATTCTTCGTCTTCTACTTTTCTTTCCATCATCCTGATTTTTTTTTCTTGCTTTACCCAGCTCCTTTCCCGCCTTCTCTTTTTCTTGCAACCGATAGCCGCCATTTTTGTTCTTCCACTTCCGGTATGTCTGTCCACGTCTTTCTGTGCTGATACAATATTAATTCCCTTCGATCACAAGCCCGTCCCGGAAGTGTTGTTCATATCGCCCAATCAATTTCGGGAGGTGTGTTAGCGTGTGGATAAGTTAGATTCGTAAAAGATGGCGTCAATGAACACAAAGACGTCTTAAAAGGAGCGTAACATGTTTTGATGATTCTATTACTTTGGCGAGAATTTTGTACAATTGTTTTTTTTTTCTTTTCTTTATGTCATCCTCAGAAATCTGCACGCCATCATTTCTAAGGATAATGCAGCCGTTTAGTGTATTGCTGAGGACTAAAGTATTTTGTATACAACGTTTGTATTTACAATGTCCAATGGAGAAGAAAATCCCTTTGTACAGCTGAAAATTTTTTTTTTAAAATCAGAACTTGCATTCCGTTGAAAATAAACTTGACTCTTTAGCCGCTTAATACTTATTCAGGGCATTAAAATATTCTTGTTAATTTTGACAAGTGTTAGTTTCAACAGTCAGAAATAAAATGAAAGTGTCATATATAAGAAGTAGAGAATATAGCTATATGGCTAAATTTGAATGACTCCTGCTGGTTAGCCTTCTTAGATGAAGCATTGTCAATTATTATTCATTTTTCACTAGTATTTCTTTCATCTTCATTTCTCTTGCTTTTTATTGCAACTGCCATCCATAAGAAGTAGAAGTAGAGAATATAGATATATGGCTAAATTTGAATGACTCCTGCTGGTTAGCCTTCTTAGATGAAGCATTGTCAATTATTATTCATTTTTCACTAGTATTTCTTTCATCTTCATTTCTTTCATCTTCATTTCTCTTGCTTTTTATTGCAACTGCCATCCATAAGGAGTAGAAGTAGAGAATATAGATATATGGCTAAATTTGAATGACTCCTGCTGGTTAGCCTTCTTAGATGAAGCATTGTCAATTATTATTCATTTTTCACTAGTATTTCTTTCATCTTCATTTCTCTTGCTTTTTATTGCAACTCCCATCCATAAGAAGTAGAAGTAGAGAATATAGCTATATGGCTAAATTTGAATGACTCCTGCTGATTAGCCTTCTTAGATGAAGCGTTGTCAATTATTATTCATTTTTTGGCTAGCATTTCTTACATCTTCATTTCTCTTGATTTTGTTTTATTAAAATGTCCCTGCATAAAAAATGAAAGAAAGGAATCCTGTCAACATTAAGCCAAGCTTATGTCATATTTCACCTTCGTGCAAATGAAACGTATCGAGTTTCTGGGCATCATTTCTCCGGGAAACATACCCCAATTACACTAAGTTTGTAAGATTAGAAGTATTAGCTCCAATCTAAAGCAAATCTCTGATAAAAGTGTTGTATTTTTCAATCTGGGGGGTGGGGAAAACATTCCTCCACTTTAAAAATATACTGATGCCGCATTCTCTCTCCGTGAGAAGATCTGTCAATATCTTCCCGTTTCACCCAGTCGTGATTCAAACTACGACGAAATAAAGCACAAATAAATCGTACTTAATTCCTGGAGATTCGTCTCCAAGACACCACTTTCCCATATGGGTCAGGTTAGGTTCATGCCTGCCACAAATCTAATGGTACTGGTTAGTATTTTGTCTTTGTGCATACAGATGAAGTTCTTCATTAAATAGAACTGTTGCCCCACAATCATATCCCGTAACTAATGATGACAGGTAGGGTCGCCACATGTACTCCAGCCATAGCAACAGTTGTGTGTCTCGGACCAGACAACGTGATATAACACACCCCCTTTTAAAAAATATTTTCAGAATATTTCTTTTTGCGTGGTTGCTGCCACAATGCAAGGGAGTTAAGTCAGTCTTAATGTTTAAATTTAGTTTTAGTTTCAATTTAGTGGTAGATCAAAAGACCGTAAGAATTTGAGGAACAAACCAACTTCAAATGCTCACTTGCACAAAAAAAAATCAAATTTGAAGGCAAAACTAATCACTTGAGTAAAGGTGAAGTAAAGTGGAGGCAAGAGTGGGCATTCGCCCCCGGACGCAGATGTGTAGGGTGTAAATTTTCATCTTCTGAATAAAAGTTAATAAAGTTAAGAGCTTAATGAATACCAGGTTTATATAATCAGTTTTTAAATATAAAAATAAGGATTTTTTTTTAAATCTAAAAATAGGTGGAATGATGCACTTTATAGGTAAAGAATAAAACGCTTCTGAAATGTTAAATACAGTGTAACCCGGATATAAGAGAGTTGTCGGGACCGGAGAAGAAGTCTCTTATATCCGGGTTTCTCTTATATCCGGGTTTGGTCTATTTTATATACATTAACACAGGCTCTAATTTGGGACCAGAGAAAATCTTTTATATCCGGGTTTCTCTTATATCCGGGTCTCTTATATCCGGGTTACACTGTAACTAATTTAGTTGAAATAAGTGCATGTCGATGAATGACTCTTCGCCAACGTACCACTAAATTATTGATCCCATCTTTAAAAAAACATTCTCATCCTTTAATGTGATAAAGAATTCAAATGCTTCGATTACCTCTTCTTTATTGGAGAATGTTTTCTTGCATATGAAAAGTTCAAAATGCATAAATAATTGATAATCAGTAGGAGAGATATCAGGTGGATATTGAAGATGAGACAGTTTCATAATTCAGGCCATGCAGATTTTGGACACTAGTGCGTAGTTGTGCAACGAAACTGGGCCATCTCTATTCACAAGTCTCGGCTCTTTCTTTTTCAATTTTTTGTGTATACACTCAATAAGCAGATTTGTAAGTAAGCAACTAGTGTTATGGAAATGTATGTGTGTGTTTTAAAAAAACTGTTGTCAAGTTATTGGGTGTTATATATGTGTATATTCGAACCTGCATCCTATACGGAACCGTCATTTACGCTGACGTGCCTTACCAATCGACCACAAAGGCGCGTTCGGTAGGCAAGGTCGAATTTACTGGAAGATTGAAGTTTATAAGCAGTAAATTCGAATACCGAACGCTTTGTGGTCGATACCGAATAATATATATATTTATATATATATATATATATATATATATATATATATATATATATATATATATATATATATATATATATATATATATATATATATATATATATATATTATATATATTTAATAATCTGTCTATATTTCTGAGAGGAGGTATTATGTATACTATTTACATTATTCGGGCTATTGTCCTCATCTCTGTTGCCATATTTATCACAACGTTTCGGCCGTTGTACACTCTGGCCTTCGTCAGGTGGTTGGAATGTCGAACTGAACCCTTTATTTCGCTCGATGGGGTTAACTGTTTTAGTCTAGTTCCACGTGCCATGTCTAATGGATGTCAGTTATCAGTTATCGCCTGTTAATTCTCATCTCCAAATTCTCCACTGTCTTAACCAGGTATTGAACTCACAACTTTTTGTGTACTGTCACTGGATCTAACGCCTGGTAAAAATGGTGGCGGAAGACATTAAGTTTATAAGTCACAGAAATTCATACACAGATGCCCTTAAGGACACATGTCACAGTGGATAAATGATCTCTCTGTGTGTGTGTGTGTATATATATATATATATATATATATATATATATATATATATATATAATCATTAACGACAGTAATGAACGAAGGCAGAATGGGCTGACTGTAGGACGCATGTTTTATTTATATATTATATATATATGTATATATTTTATATTATATGCAGAGCACTGTCCAATTGTCGTAATGAAGGAAAGTATATCTCTCGTTGAGCCATATCTGCTAATTTTATTTTCGTATCCGAAACGTAATTTCGAATAAATAATTGAATTTTTTTAGCAATGTTTCAATTTTTGTGAACGCAATAAAACGATGTGTCAAAACGTTTTTTTTTCCCTTGATACCGTTTTTATTTTCCTTATCTTCGCTCCCTCGGCATTGTTGTTTAAAACGTTGTCATTAGAATTTTAACCCAAACATATGAAAGTGAATTCTTTGTTCTCTGAGGATTTACTACAAGAATATTAAACAATATTTATTTAATAGTTTATTTGCAATAATTTTATATTTATGACATTCTAAAAATGCGATCGTCGTGGATATGACGATAAACTACATCCAGAAACAAGGTCTCTGATTTGGGTGGTTTTGAGTAAGATGGAACCACCTCTTAATCGCTGTTAACAGATTCACTTTGACCTGAGATAGTAGTACCTTTTAGTGTACCAGCGATGGACAAATAGTTAACCTCCAAACTTGTGTCAAAACATTATGTAACTATAGAAATACATTTTTGTTGTAAGAATACCAGCAATATATTTTCCTAGTACAAAAAAAATACGATCAATACATTTTCCTAGTACAAAAAAATACCAGAAATACATTTTCCTAGTACAAAAAAATACAAGCAATACATTTTCCTAGTAATAAAAAAATACAAGCAATACATTTTCCTAGTAATAAAAAAATACAAGCAATACATTTTCATAGTAATAAAAAAATACAAGCAATACATTATTGGAAAAGAAAGATAAAAATTACCATTTCTTTCATACGGCAATTCATTGATATTTTTATAAAATTGTGAATAAAAAAAATTTTCTTTATTTATAAAATGGTAAATAATAAATATTGCATTGTGGGCTGTTTACTTATTTAGATTTGTTTTTGTTTTTTTTTAATTTGAATAAAAAGATTTCTTTTCACATTTCGTTAATTATAAAATGGTAAATAATAGATCTTTATAAAACAAATAATTAATATCATTTTGTACATGGTTCACAGATTTTTATAATGTAGTAAATAAACATTGCCGAGGAAATAAAGGCAGTAGCAGATCTACCATGAATCTAATTAAGCTCAGCTCAAAAATCCTAATCTCAGAAGGGGCTCTAAAACCTTTTTTTTCATGAGTAAATTTTTTAATGAAATCGATGTTTTTTTTTTTTTTTTTTTTTTTTTAATTTATTAAAATAAGGCGATTTTAACGATAGAATCATAATCCAATGGGTTGAAGTAGCTAATGTTCGCTTTAGAATTTGTTCTAATATGCATTTCATATAGCCTCAGACTTACCCTGTAATTGGTCAAATTTCAAAATTGCAGGGGATGGGGTCTTACAGCGCACGAACCCCAAACTGTATGCGCTTGTTGAACATCTATTTATAATCTATATTTTGGCAGTTGAATCCGTGAATCTATTATCGTTGCTTCCGAAAGGAGCCCCCACTTCTCACGTTCGCGCATCAAGGTTCCAGAAATGTAGGTCCGCTACTGAGTGAGACATTTTAATGTAAGAAGCAATTTGCAAAAAGACAAACGTCTATTAAGATCTAATAAGAAGGTGTGAAGAATGAATGGACACGCTTCATCACAGAACAAGACGATGGCGTCCGTCAAAACTGATGGAAAAATTTTCTTAAGGGCTTGCAGTGCGCGAACCCCAAACTGTACGAGTTCGTTGTGCACGTCCGAATCTATTTTACAGTTTGGCAGGTGGATCCTCAAATCTATTATTGTTGGTTCCAAATGAGTCCCCATATCTTCTGTTCGCGTTTCAAGGTCCCAGAAATATAGGTTCGCCACTGGGCGAGGCATTTTAATGTAAAGAGCATTTACAAAGAGAGAAATTTTATCAAGATCTAATGAAGCTTATGATTCCGGATCTCTAATCCCAAATGTGCCCTTGAAGCATTGTGGGTGGTTTAATTATTTAGATATTTTTTTTTAATTTGAATAAAAAGATTTTTCATATTTCGTTCTATATAAAAGAGTAAATAAAAGTTGTGCATCTATTTATAATCTACATGCTGGCAGTTGGATCCTCAAATCTATTATTGTTGGTTCCAAAGAAGCCCACATATCGTCTGTTCGAGCTTCAAGGTTCCAGAAATGTAGGTTCGCTACTAAGTGAGACATTTTAATGTAAGAAGCAATTTACAAAGAGACAAGTGTTATTAAGATCTATAAGAAGGTGTGGAGAATGAATGGACACGGTTCATCACAGAACAAGACGATGACATCCGTCAAAACTGACGTCATGGTGTATGTCTAGATCGGTACTTTTACCGCGGACCAGTGCGTCCGTTCTACTCGTGGCATTTGCAAAGAGACAAATGTTATTAAGATCTAATGAAGCTTAAGATTCAAGACCTCTAATCCTAAATGTGCCCCTGAACCACTTTATTTTAATTAGTGATTTTAGTGAGTCCATTTTAGCGATATAATCATAAACCAATGAGTTAAAGCAGCTAATGTTGGCCTTGGTATATGTTTTAATGCCCATTTCATAAAGCCTCAAAATTACTCTATATTTGGTCAAATTTCAAAATTTCCTTGGGGCCTTTCAGCGCCCAAACCTCAGCTATATGGGCTCCTTGAGCTCGTTAGAATTTATTTATAGCCTATATTTTCTCAATTGGATTCTCGAATCTATTGTTACTGGTTGTGAAGGGACCCCATATTTTCAAGTTTCAAGGCACAAAAAAAATGTACGTCCTCCTCTGAGGAAAGTAATACAAAATAACAATGGTGTGAAGGGAAAGCCGTCCTTTTGACAAACTGTTTTTGTGTAGATATAGATGTTAAAGTTTGCAGATTTTTTATTTCCTCATTACTTTTGTCTTTTTTTTTTTAACTCTATCAAAGTTACAAAGTATGGATTGTGCCCCCTCCATCCTAGATATGGCAGCAATAATAAATTTCTTGTCTGATCTGGTTCTTGTAAAGATAGAACTTGGCTCTGTAGTTTCTCTGACGTCAGTACGTCCATTTACTTCTAAAATCCTCAACATGTATAAATACGTACCAAGAGAGAAAAACAGACACCGATACACATATGGCGCTAAGTTCCGACATGTGTTTAACTGTCAAAATATCAAAATATTCCTCGGTCCCCGGAACCCCTGCACTCGCCTTTACTCTATCTCCGATAAACGTGAGGACTCTATATGTTTCAGATCTTAAGCCAAAACGTCTTGGCGCCGGCAGGCTGCCTTCGCTCGGTCAAGTGTAAGTAACTTACATCTCATTTCGAACATTGGCCCCATTTACGGGGTATCTTCGACTGTCATCCGTTTTTTATATATATATATATATATATATATATATATATATATATAAACGCCCTCCCCAACAGCCATTTCTTTTTTTTTTTTTTTTTTTTTTTTTTTTTTTTGAGATATTTCTTTTTTTTCTTGATCTCTCTCTCTCTTTCTCTCTCTCTCTCGCACTTCTCTCACTCTCTTATTTTTTTGTACTTTCTCTCTCTGGTATATTCGAGTTATTCTCCTTTTCAGGTTCATATTGCGCTTCCTCTCTCATATTCTCTGTAATTGTCAGTCATTATCTCTTCTCTCTCACTATATATATATATATATATATATATATATATATATGGCATTGTCCCGCCCCACCTCTCTCTCGCTCTGTGCATATATATATATATATATATATATATATATATATATCATTCTCGTTTTTTGTTTTCAGCCGCTGTAATTTTCTTTCTATCATAAATATATATATATATATATATATATATTGTTTCTTGTTCTTTTCTTTCTCTTTTGTGTATTCAGCTTCCGTATTTATTCTCGTTTTCAGTTTCTCTCATATACTTCACTCTTTTATATATATATATATATATATATATATATATATATATATATATATATGTGTGTAAGTCTCTTTTCTCTAATTTTCTTTTTCCTTTTTTTTTTCTCTGTCATTTACCATTTTCGCTTCTTACCTGTCATTATTACCCACCTTCACCACCTAAATATACTCCTAATTGTGTTTCCCCTGTTTCTTCTAAGTTTTTATCGTTAAGATTTTATTTTCTCATCTCCATCTTCAATAATCATTCTCTCGACGACCTTCCTACTATCTTCTACATATCTTTCCCACCATTATACTCACTATATCCTAGTTCCTCCCTTTTATATTCATTTATTTCTTATTATTTATTTCTTCTATCTTTTCGTCTCTTTCTCTATCTTTTCGTCTCTTACGTATATTTTCGTCTCTTTCTCTATCTTTTTTTTCGTCTATCTTTTCGTCATCTTTTCGTCTATCTTTTTTCTCTATCTTTTCGTCTCTTTCTCTATCTTTTCGTCTCTAGCCTCTCTTTCTCTATCTTTTCGTCTCTTTCTCTATCTTTTCGTCTCTTTCTCTATCTTTTCGTCTCTTTCTCTATCTTTTCGTCTCTTTCTCTATCTTTTCGTCTCTTTCTCTATCTTTTCGTCTCTTTCTCTATCTTTTCGTCTCTTTCTCTATCTTTTCGTATCTATTTTCGTCTCTTTCTCTATCTTTTTTCTAACCCTCATCTATCTTTTTCTCTATCTTTTCGTCTTTTCTTATCTTTTGTCTCTTTTTCTTTTCGTCTCTTTTTCTCTATCTTTTCTCTTTCTCTATCTTTTCGTTTCTTTCTCTATCTTTTCGTCTCTTTTGCCTATCTTTTTCGTTCTTTTATCTTTTCGTCTTTGCCTTTCTTTCGTGTTCTGTCTCTAATTCAATATCTTTTCGTTTCTTGTCTCCTCTTTGTCTATAGTTTCATTTCTTGTCCCTCTTTCTTTGTCTCGTGTTATCTGAACTCTGTCGTTTTCTCTCCCTCACAACTTTCTTTCGCCCTTTCTTTTTTTTTTCTCCATACATTTTTCTCACTCACCTCGCTATTGCTTTTCTTGAGATTTTTTCTATTTTTTTTCTTACTTACATTCTCGAATCCCCTTTTCCTTATATATATATATATATATATATATATATATATATATATATAGATTTCTTTAAAATTCTGTTTTTTCTATGACCGTTTCTTTTGTACCCTTCATCCTCCAGTCGCTCCACAGTTTATTTTACCCCATTCTCTTTTCTCCCCTACCAAATTACGGCTTCTTTCGCTTCACTTCGCAGCTCGTCAAGACGCTTTGCAAACTCATTCTGACCTCGACTGCATAAAACTGACTATTCCTTGTCCGCCGTAATGAGCGAAAAAAAATACTAGCCCGTTATTTGTAAAAAAAAAAAAAAAAATCAAACCTTATGTTCTTCAAAATTGGAGCTCGTTCATCGCCACATATCTGTCAATTCGACTATCACACACACACATCTAATATATATATATATATATATATATATTCTGTATTTAGGTAGCAATCCTTCATTTATGCATGTTTCATTAAGACAAGACAAGATACTACGATTTAAGCTTTTTATTTGATTTTTCTTGTGTTCGAACAAGTGCTTTCTTTTTGGACAGTGTGTAGAAAATGTGTCCAAATGTTCTATAATTCCAAGCGCTTTCGGTTATTCTTTTAGCCATTATCAAGGATAATTTTATCTTTTCGGGTTGAGCGTGTGCGTTATATGTATATAAATAAAAAAAAATCAAATTAACTACTACAGGAAATTTAAAACAGCTAAACTTATCCTAAAAAGTAACAACACACCAGCAAAATCAAAATGACAACGAACGAACATTATCTATAAATTCATATGTTAATTTAAGGAACTGTGTTCCTGATCAAACCGAATTCGTAAATAATTACATCGGTCACACAACTACATGCCTATCCAAACGTCTCACGTTACACTTATCCGACCACAGCTCTATTAGAACCCATTTAAACACACGCACAAACTGACCAGATCCCCATTCGAAACATACTAATAGAAAATCCAAACATAACCTCATCCATTTGTAAAAAAAGGTTTTAAAAACTTGAAGCCCTAATGATAAAAAAAGCCAACACCTAGCAATACTAACTACGAACAAGGCCACAATGTGCTAATCGTGTTCGGAAAATCCTATTTATAACACTAAAAACATACACACAACCCACATAACCAATTTAATTAAAAAGTAAAATCATCTTTGATAATGGCTAAAAGTATAGCCGAAAGCGCTCGGGGTTATACAACATTTGGGCAGTTTCTACACACTCTGTGTCCAAAAATGAAAACACTTGTTCAAACAGAAGAAAAATTAATTAAAAAGCTTAATCGTACAACCTTGCCTGTCGTTTTTAATGAAACATATATAACGTGTATTTCGGCAGCAGTTTCTCATTTATACAAGTTTAGATAAAAATCTAAAAGGTATTTTTTTTTTTTTTTTTTTTTAGGATATTTTTTCAATATTCTTCAGCTTACGGTATATAGCGTTGAGACACCGGTTCCCGTAAGATCACGGAAGTTAAGCAACATTGAGCCTGGTCAGTACCAAGATGGAGCACAGCTTGGGAACAACAGGTGCATGATAATGGCTCGGAATTGTTAATCGGAGAACCGTGTTCACATTCCGGTCGGGTTCGTTACGTACTAATGTCCTTGGGAAAGTTATGAATCCATCTCTTCTCTCCCCAGCTATGGGTTAATTAGTAAAGACTTGTAACACGAAATCCGTAAGTTTCTTTTTGTTTGTAAATTGGGGAGAGATCCCCAACTTACAATCTACTATCTAAAAATATTTTACGATCTAAAAATATTTTCGGGCTTTAAATAACCTGCAAAAGGATTGATAAGCCGTAAAAAACGAATCAATCAAATCTAATACCGAGTAGCTACACAGGCATTAGATTTATTTACATTCTCTGAAATCTAAATGTATAGAAACTACTGTGGCTACAAAGTGAGGGATCAGTTTATATACCGATTGTAATCTAGAATTGATCCCCCACCTTATATCCACATTATAATTTCTTGTTTATCAAATTCTGATTAGATATGAATCATTACTTTCCCCCAGCTATGGATTAATTAGTAAAAACTTGTATCATGAATTATTTCTTCTGGGGTTAGTTATCGAATTATGTAGTTAGGGAATAACTGCTAATGTGTTTATATCTTTGCATTTGGTAAAAAAAATAATGTTCTTGAAGCGGATACTAAATAATGTTCTATTTTGCGTCTGTGTAGTTAATTAGGCATGAGTTGGTCGATTTTATTTTTCATAGGCAAAGGATTTAAAGTTTTCATTATTCGAATCATTTGGTAATGGTGATAGATTAACCGTCTACTTATAAGGAAATATTCGGGATTCAGCACCCGAGTCGCTGGTGATACTCTTTATTGAAATTTATAAAATCTTTCTATTAGAATTTTTTTCAGAAACAAAGCGTTATATACGAATAAAGTGTCGCTGCCGACACTTGAGTTTGAACATAGATCGCCGGTGAGCAAAAACGGGCGATCCCATTATTGAATTAAGCGGATCGCGTGACCATAGAGGAAACGCATATGTAGGAAGTCACGTGACATCTAACTGATCTTCATTTCTAGTCTATCCTCTATAATATACGAACCGCTATTCTCTACTCTATTAACTATAACATTTCTCTATTCAGATCACTATACGGATTACTATTCGAGCGAGTATTATCGAGCGAGTATTATTAGTGCGAGTGATATTCGAAGGCGTCTGACACCAGAATTATTCATCGGCGTTACTATAGTTGTAATCTGCGATTTCAAAGTCTCTACTACAACGGACATTACGAAAGTCACAACGAGTATTCGTTGGCATTACAGAACAAACGATTTTCAAACTTACTGTTATCGCTCTTTCCAGTACTGACGAAGGCTTTCATCCCAACATTTCGCTTGAAGCAGCGTGGAAAGTCAGCATCTTGATTACATCATTATTTTCTCTTCGAGTTACCTGTGTTTTCCATTTTAATTGTTGGTGCTGTAGAAAGACCATGCTTAGAATATTGCTGCTATATATGGTCGGGTGTCCATGGTATTTTCCTGGAGTTCCTTGATAAGAACCAAAGAAGAACTATCAGTATTATTGGTCCTGATCTGGCAGTTCGGCTCCAGTCACTTTCTCACCGCCGCAAGGTTGCCTCCCTCTGTCTTTTCTATAAATACTTTCATGGTAATTGTTCGGATGAGCTCTTCGCTATGAATTGTAAATATAGGGACTAGTTAGGATTTTCATAGAGACAATGAGGTATTACAGTGAATGTAGTAAGAAAGTTAGGAAAGAATGTGTTTTGGTGTTAGAAATATTGTGGTATGTTTGGGCAAGTGTTTGTGGCTAGCTAACTTTAAAGTTAAGACAGCAAGACCGTCCTTTTTCCCATACGCCATTTTTCGCCTTGTGCTACATTTTCTGTATTGAAGCGGAAATAAATATCGCCCTTCGCTAGGAACTAGTTAGTATTTTCATAGAGATATTGTGGCATTATGGTGGTTGTAGTAAGAAAGGTAAGTCAGAATGCGTTGTTTTGGTGTTAGGAATATTGTGGTATGTTTGGGTCAGTGTTTGTGACTAACAAATTTTAAAATTAAGACAGATGAAACTGTCCTTTCTTCCCATTCCCCATTTTGACCTTGTGCCACATTTTGTAGATATTTACAAACAAATATCACTCTTCGCTATGGTACCTAGACTGTATAGATTTAACCATAACTTTTATCCTAACAGATTCATATCTTGCATTTCTCGCCTGTGGAACTCCCTCCCAGCTCCATGCTTTCCAGCCAATTTTAATCTTAAAAAATATAAATGCAATGCCAATCGCTATATTCTGTCGTCCTGATTACTCTTTTTTTCTTTATACTCTTTACTAATTTTTATGTTCCTAGTTCTACGACATCCTGTAACTCCTTGGGTCTTAGTGGCTTTACTGCCTTGCTTGGGGTAATTACGATTTTGAAAAAAAGTATAGTTTGTTATTTGATATGGTTCTTTGTTAATAATTCTGTAAAAAGTTGGTGAAATTCAAAGAATGATGGTCCTCACTAATACCTAGAGTTTTCATTCGCTTGAAGCCATTTTAATAATTGATCTGAGAAGGGTGGCTGTATAGAGTTGACAGTTTAGATATTTCTGAACAGTTTTAGTGCCATGCATGTGATCTATATGAAAGTATCGATCTAAGTACAGAACTAGAATTCTTGGGGTAATGTTTTGGTTTTGTAACATCTTGTGGTGTTGGGAAAAACTACCCCTAGCACATTTTATTCTATGTTCAATTTTCTTCTTTCCTATAATAAATTTAATATTGTAGAAGTTATCGCCAACATTTTTTTTGTCGAGATTTACAAACTCTGTTTCGTTCAATTTCGCAAACTAATCGATGAAATTAGAATAAGCTGAATTTTTGGGACAAATACTTCGCGGTTTAATAATTTCTTCAATTCAATTTAATTCTATAAGACTTCGTGATAAACAATATTTTTAAGAAAAATAACCTTTTCCCTTTTTAACAGCGAATAATAAATTCCTAAATTTTCTTTCTCCTGAGCATCCAACATACAACTGGTCATACGGCAATATTTCTTTGTGGAACCAAATCCCAACTTTTTGAAGCTTTGGCCTTGTGATTTGTTTATAGTATTCGCAAGTGCTGGGCGAACTGGAAACTGGATTCTTGTATATATAAAAACTTAAATATATGCAACAAAAAAAAAATATTGCATTTTTATTAAATAAGTTTTAAACATTAAATTGTTTTTTTTTAATAGTGTGAGTATTTTGTATGTTAAATAATAAAACTTAATTTTTCCAAAACAAAATGAATAAAAATTTATTGTACTAAACTAAGCACCCTAGTAAAACAAATTGTATTTGTAGCACCTTACCTAGCAGCACTTCTCTCTAATTTTTTTTTTTTTTTTCGATTGGTCAAGAAATGGCTATTTTAGAGGCTGTGACGGACGGACTAACGGAAGTCATAGAATTTTATATAGATAGATAGATGACTAGATGTTATATAAGAATAAAGTGTCACTGCAGACACTTGAGTTTGAACATAGATCGCCAGGCGATCCCATTATTGAAATTAATATGGTCACGTAATCCACTTAGGATCACGCGACCATAGAGGAAACGCATATATGGGACGTAGCGCGACGGCTAAACGATCTCTATTTCTAGTCTATCCTCTATTACTATTTGGATCACATTTTCTAGTCTATCCTCTCTACTATACGAATCGCTATTTATCCTTTATTACTGTAGGGACCGCTATTCTCTACTCTATTCACTATTATTTTTCTATTCGGATCACTATAGGGATTACTATTTGAACGAGTATTATCGAGCCAGTACTATTAGTGCAAGATTATTCGAAGGCGTCTGACACCATTATTGTTCAACGGCGTTACTGTAGTTGTATCTGCGATTGCAAAGTCTCTACTACAACGAACATTACGAAAGTGACAACGAGTGTTCGTTGATATCACAAAACTATACTTTAGTTGAAATCTCTGAAACCGAAAAGTTCTTACTAACAAAATATGCTTCGTTAGTAAGGAATTCTTGATTTCTAATTTGACAATAATTCCAATCTTTAAAATAACAGGAATGCCATCTCAATTACGAGTACCCACTAAAAATAATGTTTATAGCCATAACAAAAAATGTCGGATTAAAAAAGAAATCCACCCCGTATTCATTGCTTGTAGAACTCTCTTATGATTTCTTGCTTTGCTATCAAATCTATGTGCCGTGTCCCTTCAAGACGTAGGTGATCATGGCCCTCCACATCTACCTGCCCCTTGCATGTCTTAATAAGTTTTGTCTATATGTTATTTCTCCCAAACCCTCAAGTATGTTTCACGCTGATTTCCTCTGTTTCTCTTTCCATCAATCTTTCCCGTGAGTATCAGATTTTTCAAGTCCTCCTTCCTCATTATGTGCTCCATAAATTTCAGCTGCCTCTTCCTGATGTTAAGTTTTAGTTTCTTTTTTGTTTCCATTCTCTCCAAAACCACGTAATTGCTCGCATGTTCGGTCCATGGTATCCTCAGCATCCTTCTGGAGAGCCACATTTCTGTTGTTTCAAGTCTCTTCATCTTCACGGAGATTGTCCAGCACGCGCTGCCATACAGGAGGACAAATATCACGTAACAGTTCAGGAATCTTTTCTTTGTTTTCAACGAAATTTTCCTGTCTCTTAATACTCTGCTTAGCTTTTTGAATGCGTCTTTGGCCATCCTAATACGTCTTCGAATCTGTGTCGCACTTTCCGTCCTCTGTTAAAACACTTTTTCCAGATATTTAAATGCCTGTACTTGTTTGATTTCAGTGTCCCCGATCAAATACGATCTTCAAAATACACCGTCAAAACACCATTTTATGATTCCATGAAACCTGTTCTTTTATTGTCCTATCTCTGAATTTCTTTCACTCTATCACCTCTTGCGTCTTTTCTTATTGGCTTCTATTCATCTTTCTTGGAAAAAAAAGGATCTATAATCAGAACGTGTCTAGCCAATAGACTAGGAACCATCATAGCGAATAT